GAGTGACCTATTTGGTTGCTGTGAGGATTCAGTAGTGTGGATCATATAAAGTGACTCACACAGTGCTTTGTAGCACATACATAGCAAGAGTACAACAAAGCTTCACCTTTTCCTGGCTATTTAGTACTGAAAAGTGGGTGTACTATGAGATTGTGGTGGGTAATAAAATCCCTCTTGGACGGCCAGTCACAAAGTGACACAATTTGATATTTTCCTCCTCTTACTTTTGAAACATGATAAAGTTTAAGTAATAACAGACTACTGTATGCCACAAATAAGAAAGCAGAAGGCCCAACTAACAGGGTTAAAGCAGAGCGGTTCTGAGCTCCACTCTTCCCTTCATAACTCCTCCCATGCTCATTGGCGAGAACGGGGCGGGGCCTGGCATCACACCCCAACAGAATGCGTAAATTATGATGCGCTCAGTAGCTATTACCAGCAAAGATGAACATTTATGGTGACAGTTCAAAACAAAGAAGAGAATAAATAAGCTCTGCATTCAACTATTCTTCAAGCTATTACAGGATTGGAATCAGAAAAGTTAAAGACATGCGGCTCTGGGTAAGGACCAAGAAGACTTACCGAAGAAGTTAAAAACTGGGCTCCGTGGGGGCTGAAGAGATGGTTCAGTGGTTAAGAGCACTGACTGCTCTTGCAGAGGACCCGGGTTCGATCCCCAGCACCCACAAGGCAGCTATAAACTGTCCTTAACTCCAGTTCCAGGGGAATCCGAAATTCTCTTCTGACCTTGGCGGCATTGCACAACAGGGGTACACTCACGTACATGCAGGCAATACACTCATACGCATAAAATAAAAGTAATAAATAAAATATTTAAGAAAAACTGGGCTCCATGGTTGAACCTAGTTTAACCTAGTTTCACACTTTGATGGTCATAAAACAGGCTAATGATCACACCTCCCTGACCCCCTTGTTCCAGAGGCCTCACCTATCCCACATCTTTTAGGCTTGAGTGCCCTTCAATTATCTTTATTGAGGTAAAATTCATATGTCATAAAAGGAGTCAGTTTAAGTGTACAATTTCATGGGATTTATAATCCTTCAGAATGCTGGACTGCCACTAGTTTTAATTAGTCCCAAAATATGTTTATCAAAAGAGAACCCTGTATCATTTCCAGAGTAACATGGCATCCTCCATGCTAATATGTGAATGAGGAATCAAGTTGGCAAGCCCTGTCATCAGTATATTGCTGTGGGAAGTGGGAGCTCAGAGCCCACGGCTGGTGGCTGTCTTGGCTTCTGGAGCTGTCCTGCCCTTTGTCAGCAGGACTGAGAACTCTGAACCAGGTCTAACTTGGTAGTTTATTGCTAGATGGGTCTGAAAGCATGAGGATTGGCTTGAAGAGTGCTGGGCCCTCCTGTATCCCTCCTCTAGTGAAGATCTTAGTGCTCTGTTGGTCTCCCTCACAGTCTGATGAACTCTGGGACATCCAACAGAACTGCAGTAGACTCAATATACAACCAGCTTCACTCTTTCCTCCAGAACTGGATGTTTCTAATATTAAAGACCCGAAAGAAGCTTCTCTAATTCTTTGCCATTTGTTTTTTTTTACATTCATTTTTGCTATACTTTTGTTATTTTCTATATTACTTCTCAATTTTTCTGCTTTTAGTTTTAGTCATCTTCTTGCTTTAATTGCATTTACTGTTTGTCTTATAATCAGATATTTTAATCTCTTGATCTTTTCCTGTTCCTCACATTTGTTTCCATTTTTTAATTTTTATTTAGCTTTGCTTCTTTTTCTTTTCCCCTTTCCCTGCTTCCCCTTTACTTAATTTTTAAGTTATTATTACTTTTACCTTTTTAAAACTTCATAATTTATTCTATACCCCTTTTATCACTTCCTTTTGTATGATTTATCTGTGGTATAGTCCTTACTTTTACTTAATGTTTATAGTATGTATATATCCGGTTGGGTTTGATGATGTTGTTGTTATAGCAATTTGGTTCCTACTCTATGAGTGATACCGATTAAAACCTCAAGGGAAGCTGCTCATGAAAAAAGACTTCATACTAAACTGGAAGAGATACCTACCCGAGCATATGTACAAATAGAAACACAAATATAAAAAAGCAATACCATATAGCACCTCCAAAAGCATATATCTCTTCAATAGATTAACCCAAAGATACTAAAATGAAGGGCAAAAAAAAAATTAAATTAGCTTTAAAAATGATCAATGATCTCAAAGAAAATTCAAATAAATGATTAAAGCAAAGAAGTTAATTTAAGACTTTGATTCCAGCAATGAGATAGTGAGTCTGGGAATGATAAGTTCAGCAAAGTAAATAAAGAACTCAGTGGAGGGGCTGAAAGGTGGCTCAGCAGCTGTAAATGAAAACTGCTCATGCAGAGGGCTGGATATCAGCTCCCAATGTTCATGTCTAACAGCTTACAACTCCTATAACTCCAGCTCCAGGGGATCTGATGTTCTTTTTTGATCTCTGAGGGTACCCCCAAATACATGTTATATATACACACAAAAATAAATCAATAAATAACTCAGTGGACGGGCTGGAGAGATGGCTCAGTAGTTAAGAGCCCTGGCTGCTCTTGCAGAGGACCTGAATTCAATTCCCAGCACCCACATGGTGGCTAACAACAATCCTAACTCCAGTCCAGGGGATCCAATGCCTTCTTCTGACCTCCATGGGGATTGCATGACATGGGTGCACTTATATACATGCAGGTAATACACTCATGCACATAAAATAAAAATAATGAATAAAATATTAAAAATAACTCTGTAGAAAGATTCACCAACAGAATAGGGCAGACATTAAGAAAGAATATCTGGGATTAAAGAGAAACTTGAAGAATTCTTATGTTCTATATCAATAAAGAAAATAAGTAATTATGACCAACATTTTGGATCTATGAGACACAATCAATAGATCAAACTTGCCAGGCATGCCTGCACATACCTTTAAACCCAGCATATGGGAGGTAGAGGCAGGAAGATTGCTGTGAGATTGAGGCCAGCCTGGGATGGTCTACATAGCCAGTTCCAGGCCAGCTTGGGCTACATAGTAAAACTCCATCTCAAAGCAGGAGAAGGAGGAGGAAGAGAAGAAAGAGGAAGAAGGAGGAGGAGGAAAAAAGTGATCAAACCCATGAACTTGTGGTGTAGAAGAGGAAACTGAGATACATAGTAAAGGCACAGAAAGCCTATTCCAAGAAATTATTAAAAATTTCCATAATCTAGGAAAAGAAATGGACCCCCAAGGAAAGTAGGCATTTGGCATCCCAGGTAAATGTAATTCAGGACCTTTCCACATCATATTCCAGTTTAAAATGTTTAGTGTATAGAATAAAGAAAGAAAATGGAAAGCTGCAAGAGAGAAGTGCCAAATTGCTTACCAAGGCAACTGTATCAGAGTATCAGCAGGCCTCTTAGCAGAAGTAAACCCTACAGACCAGGATACGAGAATGTGATGGAAAAATTTCAAGTCCCCAAACAAAATAGCCACCAAACAAGATATACAGTAATGTAACACCACAAAATTAAGGAGAAATAAAGACTTTTCATGATAAACTTCAAGCCATTTATAACCACTAACCACTATGCCAGTATTGCGAAAGAAAAGGCATACAAAAGAAGACGTGAACCTATTAGTAAGAATCAACCAGTGGATTACATGGATTTACAAAGTTTTTACAACTGAAAGGAACGATTGCCAGAATAATGATACAGCTCTGGGTCTAAACAGAAGCACTATAAAACAAAACAAAACAAAACAAAAAAACCAAGTCTTCAAGAAACACAGATCAACTCATATGATTCAAAACCATATGGATGAAAAATGCTTTGATATAAATAATAAAATTGGAAAATGCTTTGATAAAACCTCCAAATCAGAGTATTTCAGAGAATTGGTGTGGTTGAAAGGTTAACTTATAAAGTTCAAGAAAGAATTAAAGGAGATGACTTAGAGCTATGTCTAGACATTTTTCCCTGTTAATTGTAGAAGTATTGGCACTCTCACAGGTCTCCTTGGCTCCAAGTATGCCCCCACTTCAACATGTCTTCTAAGGATATGACATCAGTTCAGTGACCAAGAACACAGAGCTCAGATGTAACTGGCCTCAGTTCCTAAGCCCCAACTGTACCTCTTACAAGGTATATCCCTTCACTTCTCCGAGTCTCTTTAAAATCTGGGGGCACAAATTTGCCTCAGTAGGCCTTAACATATATGGCAGAATGCATGAACTCTGGTGTGGGGAGCTCTAGGGGTGCAGATAGGGTGAGGAAATGGGGATATATATGATCAAGATACATTTTATACATGTATGAAATTGTCAAAGAATAAATAAAAGATTTTTAAAAATCAGAATAGTAATAGTTCCTCTAGCATAGTGCTGTTATAAAGATTTTAAAGGGTTGACTAATATGACTTTCTAAGCTTTACAGATCTTATAACTTATTATTTTAAATTTATTTGTTATTATGTGTGTATACATGTGTGTGCAAAAAAACTAAAGCCTCCAGATTGTATTTAGAATTAAACTTTAGGAAGAGCCATTAGCAAGAAACTCCACTAGAGGGTGAGCAAGGAAAGAAATGAAGGAACTGAAATTAGACAAGTCTTCCAGAACTATTAAAGTTTGACACCCACCATAGCTGTGTCTAAAATGACAGTTTCCACTTATGTTATTTCTAGATACTCCTACACGGGTAGTCAGAAGTTAGCCTGGTCTTTATAAAAGAAGGAAGAAGAAAGTTACAACAACAGGAACCGTAAATGGAAGCAGGAAGAGAGCAAGGGAAGAAAGGATGCTCAGGAAAATGAAAAGAAGGCTGGAAAGATGGAGGGAAATGGCGAATCTAGCCACCATAGCTCCAGTCTCCTCATTTGTTCTCCAGGCAGGTTAGGAAAGGGGTAGGGAAAGAGAAGAGAGAAGATGAGGAAGGGGAAGAAAGGGGAGGAAGAGGATGTGAGACTGGGTTAGAGAATGAAAGCAAGCAAGCAAGCCCTGCTGTTGACACTTGGCACATTTTTCTTGAAGCACAGCTGATTCTCCTTGTGCAAAGACCCAGGGCTCCAGGTGCTGAAGGGCAGAAGAGCTGCGGAAGAAGGGCACGGCACTAAGCAAAGTGAGGGTGAGCACGGTGAGCCTTCTCGCCTACAAGATCTCCATATAGTCAGAAAATCTTCTTGGGGTTGTAGAAGCAGATGACAAGGGGACAGAGCTGGTCAATTTTATTTCTAGTTGTAAGAAAGATAGAAATTAAAAATGCAGTCTTAAAAAAGTGATCCTAGAATGTTTTCTATCAGGTGTGCTTATTTACTCTGTGAATGTTTTCTCTGATGAGATGCTTGAAGAAGTATTATTGAAATCAGGACTGTACAATGAAATGCTACATGGGAAACGATACTCAACTGAAAATATAGTTTTAATGTGTGAAGAAAAATCTATGGTTTTGTCATTTGAATTACTCAAAATGTATTTCTTCTTACTTGAGGAAAAAATGAAGAGCTTTCCTTTCTTGGTGTCTGGCTATATAATTCTTTCATGTATTTGAGGCATGGATCCATTTTGAGCCAATGTAAGAAGAGAATAAATCTGATCACTAGCTAATGAGGAACACCAAGGAACATTAAAATATGCATACCAAATAGTGTAGAGTTTGATTTAAAGCTCAGCAGAAAGATACATACAAAGACTGCCAAAATGGAAAAAATATCACAGTAGTAATGATCAGAATCTTGGGACTGAAACATTAAAACAACATCAAACAAAACTGCACCACTTTTGAAGTGAACTTGATGCATTGTTTTCAGTCATGCCTGAGTACTTTATCTTGGGTAACTATGAGGTTATAGGCTCATGTCCTTTTTTATTTTAAGAAAGTTGTAGGGCACCACCTCATGGTGCTATAAATTTGAAATATTTCAAATATCACTTTATACTTTATTTGCAGATGTTTCTATGGAAATGTCAGGGTGCTCAGCGGGGCCTATGGAACATCTTCAAGATATGGATCTGGACAGTGCTCTGTTGTGGTATGGGATTTGGATTTTTCTTAGCCTTTTAAACTTTTAAACTTTCTCTTTTCTTAAATATTCATTGCAAGTACATAATTGTGGAAAAATTATTATATAAACAACTGTTAATTCTATCATGGGCTTTTGACCAGGATCACAGTACCAGGCATTAAATTTCCTCCTGTGGAACGAACCACAAAAATCAAATAGAAAGTGCTTAGTTAGCCCATAACAGTGGTGCCACTGTTCTATCAGTAAGCATATACTGCCAGGCCAGTATGAAGCATGCAAAATCTAGTGCTGGGTGTGATCGTTGATGTCTTTCTCCCCCAGCAGCCTGAATAGCACCTTCTGGCATCATGAAAGCTGGCTGGCAGGGAGGAATTATCCTGGTCATTTTGAGATTGATTTCTTTATGTCCTACATCCACAGTGTGTGGTGTCTTCAGCAATAGGGTCTTACCATGTAGTTATAGTGGGTGACCAAGGGCAATAGCAATAGCTTGTGCTGATTTGGAGACCTCTGGGGCCTCCCTGACTAATAACTCATAGGGAGATATCCTATGCCTTGTTCTGAAATTTTCAAGTAAATATTCATGTCTTCTGGAAGCAGCATTGTCTACCTGTACAGGATAATTCTGCCCATACTCTTCTTCTAGTTGTGTTTTGAAATTAACTTACTAACTACTGGGTTACCATAGGCTTTTTTTTGTCTTAAGTATGTCTTATACTATGTCTTTCTTGTTTCTTTAGAGAAATATTTTCAGTCAACAAGTATTTTCCGAGTACCTACAGTGTATAAACACTGTTTTAGGTATTGAGGTCCAGCAGATGCAGACCCCAAAAGTTTCTTCTGTGTTAGAAATTACACTGGAATAGAACAGGCTCATTCAAAACCATTGCCAATGTATTAATTTTGGACATTCTTTATCCATTTACCATGTTTTCCAGTTTGCTGTTCATTTCTGATATGTTTGATATGATCAAGATTAGTTGTATCTTCTTTGTATCTGATATTCCTTGTTCAGAACTCTTAGGAGACTATGAAGAATTTGATCTATGTTTTAGTTTCTTAATGGTAGTTACCTTACAAGGTAAAAACATTAATAGGTTGGATGGCTGGCAAAGCTTTTATCGTAGTGTAAGCTGTATTTCACATAGATCATACCTCACTTACAATGGCCAGTATCATTATGGTCATTGTGTAACTAATTTCTTTAAACTCTTCATACTTGAAGCATCCATGTGTTTACTGAAGACCATCACTTGAGTATCTTTGCATACAGAAATGATGCAATCAATTTTGCGTTCCTACATCACTTGGTTTTGTAAGTTGCTCTTTCTCTACTGTGCAATTATACAACCCTTGGACAGTATACTGACACTTTCCCAGAATCAGCTTTTCAGTCATACATGTTGGCTTTTGGGAAATTATTCCAGGATTTAAAAAAGAGTACACTATAGATTTAAGAGTTATATTTTGTTGTAGTTCAATTGGTTTTTGGTGATTGACAGCCATTAAGAAAATAAAATAGGAATTTCTTAAGTATGCTGAATAAAATTCATTTGAAAGAATTTTGAGAAAAATCTTTCACTAAATTTAGAAAGCCATCAAATGTGTGTACAATAACTCCAGAAGTAAACACATTCTGTACTCAAAAAGAGTGTCTGGGTTCTGATCCAAATCTGCACGTGACCTAATACTGGGCCCCTGAGACACTTACCTACACTTGTGGGTTTTCAGTTCCTCTATGTGGAAGCTCAGCCTGTGCCTGTGTCAGGTTCTTGTCAGCTGTAACACTGTGAGTCAATATATTTTATGCTGATGTTTTTCAGACTTCCTGGCACATCATGGAACTGACTGTTGGACTTACCATTATTCTCAAAAACCCATGAATTGGGAAAACGCTAGAAAGTTCTGCCAGGAAAATTACACAGACTTAGTTGCCATACAAAACAAAGGAGAGATTGAGTATCTGGAGGAGACACTGCCCTACAGCCGTACTTACTACTGGATAGGAATCCGGAAAATTGGAAAAACGTGGACATGGGTGGGAACCAACAAGCCCCTGACTAAAGAAGCAGAGAACTGGGGAACTGGGGAGCCCAACAACAAGAAGTCCAAGGAGGACTGCGTGGAGATCTATATCAAGAGGTCCATAGACTCTGGAAAATGGAACGATGATGCCTGCCACAAAAGAAAGGCAGCTCTCTGCTACACAGGTGGGCAGTGACCAGAATCTTGTCCCGGTCTGACTCAGGAGGACCTGAGTTAGAACAATCAGACTTACTGCACAGAAATTGCTAGTTCATTCCAAAATAATCCCAAATAAGTCTGAAGCTTGTAACTTCTGGGCATTCTGTTAGGTAAAGTTGGTCCCTATCTCCAACAGCTATGCCCTTAAATCAACTTACATCAAGTTGTAAGTATGTTATTTGGAAAGTAGAGACAGACAACCTGTGCCACAGTGACTGATGGGGAGCTGGTGTTGAGAGCTGGGTAGATTGAAATCAGGTTATTTCATTCGTTTCCTTGTTGTACAGTGGGGTCTTGGTGTCATGTGTTTCCTTCTTGGGTGATGCTTATTAATGCTACATGTGAAAACATTACACTATCATTGGTATATGCAGATTTCTCTAAAAGCTATCCAGCATAATCAGGATTTTTCTAAATCATATTTGACAGCAAAACACGGATAACTTGGTTTAGGGTAAATGAGACTTCCTACTACTTTAGAAAGTTTGGACTTTTTTATTTTTTTCTGCAGCCCCAACTGTCCTGGAACTCACTATGTAGACCAGGCTGGCCTTGAACTCACAGAAATCCGCCTGCCTCTGCTTCCCGAGTGCTGGGATTAAAGGTGTGCACCACCATGCCCTTTTAATCTTAGTAATTCCCACAAAGAAAGCTGAATGCAGAAACAATTGAATGTAAGATATCACCTAACCTGCTTATTATACTAAAAATGGTAATTTCAAAGGTTTCAATGTATTCCTCTAAATTCTCCAAAATCTTGTAGCACATTAATATCAGTAAATTCATTCTAAATGCAAATTAATGCCTATGGCCACATGGCTAGCATATTCCACAAAAAATTTAGCATATGATTATTATGCAAAAATGCTATGACTATGTAAGCAAAACTTTCCTGTTCATTAGGGTAGTGTTAGAAAGTTTTCTTTTTATGAGGAAGTGAATATGAATAATAAAATGTAATCACATTAAAATGTCTTTTTCTGACCTGCTTAAAGCTTCTTGCCAGCCATCGTCCTGCAGTGGCCATGGAGAGTGTGTAGAAACCATTAATAATCATACCTGCAACTGTGACTTGGGGTATCATGGGCCCCAGTGTCAGTATGGTAAGTCTCTTTCCTTTTGTTGTTTATTAGTGTAAATAATCACAAGAATCATAATAGCTTATGATAGAATTGGTTAGGACAAAGTGATAACTGGTTGGGATAAAATAATAATAGACATTCTGAGAATTGGGAAGTTATGAACAGAAAGTTAGGCTTTCACAATGTTATCTTCCTGTAAAGATTTCATAAGGCAGCATGAAGTTTCAATTTGTTTCATAAGTGTTTTCTCAAGTACCAGAAGAATAAGGTGTTTAGATAAAAGCTGAGCAGGTCACAAAGAGAAGTCAGGCATGGCAGATTTCAACTTCCAAGGATATCACAATCTAATGAGCTCACTGAATTAATTAGAACTCTAGTTCTAATCACTAAATTACCCATTACTAAAGTCTGGAAGAAACAATATTGTATTCAGTCTTGAACTCCAAATATGCTAAGGATGTTCTTTGGGAAGTCTACAAGTCAAGTATCCCTGGCCAGTTTTTCTTTTCGTATTATGTTTTTTTTTTTTTTTGGTCTTTTTGAGACAGGGTCTCCCTGTAACCCCAGCTGTCCTGGAACTCACTATGTAGACCAGGCTGGCCTTGAACTCACAGAGATCAGCCTGCCTCTGCCTCCCGAGTGCTTTTCATTCCATGAAACCAGTATTTACATGAGTACTCTGATATGAGGCCCTGTCATCTCTTTCAACACTTAGGCGAAGTAACATACTATTAACTCAATTTTCAAAAATTCTACTCATTTTTAAATTTTTGACAGTATCATACTTGTATTCAATGCACTTTGATTCCATTTACCCCACTACCTCCCTTTTCCCTACCCACTCCTACCAACCCCCTTCTTCCCAACTAGTCACCCTATTAATTCAACTTTATGACTTGTTACCTCTCCAAGTTGTCTCCTACTTCTCAACTCCACTGCCATTTCTCTCATTGTCTCTCCTCTGTTATGGCTAGAGTCTCTTACATGAGCTCCCGAACTTTATATTAGTTCCATTCAAATATATTACTCATACTACAGGCAGGCTGATCAATTGAAAATAATCAAAACAGACCAGGCATATATGGCCATTCATTCTCTAATTTGTTCCTTTCCTTTGTCTTGCAGGATAAAATCTGAGCTCATTAAGTCCAGGGTAATGCTTGATTACATACTAGGTGCTCATTTATTGGATAAAAAAAGATAGGAGTACATTGTCCAATCTTTCTCTCCAGTCACACCTCCTGTCATACCTCCCTTCATAGCAATTATCAACACATTGGCAGTGCACTTTATGTTTCATTGACTTTGTTCATGGCCTTCTCTCTGAGTTTGCACATTGATAAGATACCTGACCATCTTTAAGACATAGTTCAGACACTTTTTCTTCCAGGAATGTTCCTTTGGACCCCAGGACAGACAAATGGTAGTCAAGTAGCAGACATGAGATAAAAATCCATCTGATCCTCTTAACACTCCCCAACCTGTTTCTCTCCCCATTAAAGTGGTTCAGTGTGAGCCCTTGAAGGCCCCAGAGCTGGGAACCATGAACTGCATTCACCCTTTGGGAGACTTCAGCTTCCGCTCACAGTGTGCCTTCAACTGCTCCGAGGGAACAGAACTAGTTGGGATTGAAGAAATACACTGTGGACCATCTGGAAACTGGTCATTTCTAGAGCCAATATGTCAAGGTGAATAACTTCAGATCAAGCTTTGTTGTGGTAAACCTGTGCTTCTAATCTAAGACAATGCGGGGGAACCTTGCTAAAAAGTCTGTTTCCTCTCTTAGTGTATAATTCAACCTGACTTTGGTTGTAGTTTGATGCTTTCAATAGGTTTTTTTCTTATTAAATGAAAACCAAAGCACCCAAACAAAAATAATAATTAAATGCTTTTAAATCCACCTGGCAGTGATTTATGGCAATACATTGGAATTACTTAAAAAAAATTCCAATTGTCATGGCATAAAGTCTTGATGAATCTCAGTTAAACTTTGGTTCCTCTCAATAACACC